TTGCAACAACTAAGCCAATCAAGGGACGATTTGTAACTGCGTGGCCATTTAGTTGACGATTTGTATCCGTCCAGCCGATCGGGTGACACATTGCAATAACTAAGCCAATCAAGGGACGATTTGTAACTGCGTGGCCATTTAGTTGACGATTTTTATCCGTCCAGCCGATCGGGCGACACATTGCAACAACTAAGCCAATCAGGGGACGATTTGTAATTGCGTGGCCATTTAGTTGACGATTTGTAACCGTACAGCCGATCGGGCGACACATTGCAACAACTAAGCCAATCAGGGGACGATTTGTAACTGCGTGGCCATTTAGTTAACGATTTGTATTCGTCCAGCCGATCGGGCAACACATTGCAACAACTAAGTCAATCAGGGGACGATTTGTAACTGCGTGGCCATTTAGTTGACGATTTGTAACCGTCCAGCCGATCGGGCAACACATTGCAACAACTAAGCCAATCAGGGGACGATTTGTAACTGCGTGGCCATTTAGTTGACGATTTGTAACCGTCCAGCCGATCGGGCGACACATTGCAACAACTAAGCCAATCAGGGGACGATTTGTAACTGCGTGGCCATTTAGTTGACGATTTGTATTCGTCCAGTCGATCGGGCAACACATTGCAACAACTAAGCCAATCAGGGGACGATTTGTAACTGCGTGGCCATTTAGTTGACGATTTGTAACCGTCCAGCCGATCGGGCAACACATTGCAACAACTAAGCCAATCAGGGGACGATTTGTAACTGCGTGGCCATTTAGTTGACGATTTGTAACCGTCCAGCCGATCGGGCGACACATTGCAACAACCAAGCCAATCAGGGGAGAATTTGTAAGCACGTAGCCAATCATACGACAATCTTATCATATTTTAACCACTACGCCAATCGGGGGGGGGGGGTATTTGTCACCGACAAATCTAAGCAGAGCACAAGGTGATTGGTGGATAGTTATTGCAAACTAATCAAGTGATGGAAAAGTACATTTATACAACTTGTCCTTCAAGGTGATTTCGGTGATCAGACAAATAGGAATCAAATTCCGACTTTTTAAAATATACGCATCCATGCAT